CTAATGAAATTGCCAATGATATTGCCCAAGTAACTAATAACATTTCCAATGATATTGCCAAAGGAGCTAATGAAAATCGCAATGATATTGCCCAAGTAGCTAATGAAAATCGCAATGATGTCGCCCAAGTAGCTAATGAAATTGCCAATGATATTGCCCAAGTAACTAATAACATTTCCAATGATATTGCCAAAGGAGCTAATGAAAATCGCAATGATATTGCCCAAGTAGCTAATGAAAATCACAATGATATTGCCCAAGTAACTAATAAAGTTTCCAATGATATTGCCAAAGGAGCTAATGAAAATCACAATGATATTGCCCAAGTAGCTAATGAAAATCGCAATGATGTCACCCAAGTAGCTAATGAAATTGCCAATGATATTGCACAACCAGCTAATGAAATTTCCAATGATACTGGCCACATAATTTATGAAAATCGCAATGATATTGCCCAAGTAGCTAATGAAAATCACAATGATGTCGCCCAAGTAGCTAATGAAATTGCCAATGATATTGCACAACCAGCTAATGAAATTTCCAATGATACTGGCCACATAATTTATGAAAATCGCAATGATATTGCCCAAGTAGTATATGAAATTTCCAATGATATTGCCAAAGTAACCATTGAAAATCACAAAATGATATCACCCATGTAGCTAATGAAATATCCAATGATACTCGCCAGACAACTAATGAAAATCGCAATGATATGGCTTTGAAAAGATATGAAATTGGTAATGATAACCACAGGCTACCTTATGAGGGAGGCCCAAAACCTTGCCTACACTTAATGAAAAAGCGCAGCCTTTATGATAATGAAAAAACATGGTAACAGTAATGATTCCCTATCATAAAGAGTGTGGATGGATACACAGGGACCTATAGGCAGTTACCTGTTTTATATGATAACTAGTGGTAGCCACTAGTGGTGCTGGGCCGGCTTCTGGAGTTGATTGGCGTTGGGGAGTGTTTGGTATTGGGACAGATGTGTCTGCCGATATTGGGGGCAGGGCTGGGAGCGACGAATTTGGTATCGGGACAGATGACGCTTGTGTGTCTGCCGATATTGGGGGCAGTGAAGATTGGGCTGGGAGCGATGAATTTGCCAATGTAGAAATGGTTGACATAACATTAGTAGGTACCATTTACATCATGAAAATGTGGCAGTTGCCATGAGGCATCTTGATCAGCTACCGTGAATGAAATGAAATGATTTCATTTCATTCACGGCACTTATTTCATTTCTTCAGAAAAGGTGTGTTTCATTCATTTGCGACGATTTTTTCATTTTTTGTTTCATTCTTTTCCAGTGAAAATGAAACACCTTTTGCCTCATTCTGTTTCATTCTCACTTCTGTTTCATTCCTGCCAGAAAGAATAAGTTTGATTCTGCTTCATTCATTCCTGACAATTATTTCATTCTTTGTTTCATTCTTGCCAGAGGATTGAATATTTCATTCATTTTCAATTATTATTTCATTCTTTCTGGACAGTTATTTCAATGATGTAGTACATGTACAAATAAGGAAATAATATACAAATGATGCCTGATATGGGTTGTGCCCTTCTGCAGTGGATTGAGGGGCCATATGGGGGTATTTTTGGATTTGAGGCAGATATATGCAAAGAGCTAGCAGTGGTGTTGCCAAATAGGGCACTTACATTTTGTTCCCATCAATTACATAATCACCTCCCATCTCACAATGGAATGAAACACATGCACCAAAATGAATGAAACAAAAATGAGGCAGCTCAATGACATGAATGAAGCCAAAATGAAAGAAATTCCAGTTCGTCACAAGCAGTTCTATTTCGTCGCCATGGACAGGAATGAAACAGGAATGAAAAACTGTTTCATTCCAACGTGGTAGCTGATCAAGATGGCCCGTGGCAACTGCCACGTTTACATGATGTAAATGGTAGCTACCAGTCGACATAATGGGAGGAATGGGGGGAGAGGGGCTGTCGTAACCTTCCATGAAGAA